GCTTAAAGCAGGGGTCTCAAACCTCCGGCCCTCCAGCTGTGGTGAAACTACAAATCCCATGATGCATCTCTCTTCGGGAGTCATGTCTGTGGCTGAGAATCTTGCAATGCCTCATGGGATTTGTAGTTCCACCACAGCTGGAGGGCCAGAGGTTTGAGACCGCTGGCTTAAAGGCTCTCTCCACTGTATACCTGGAATTGGATATGTAGTCTGTACATGTCCTGGGTTTCTGTACCCCTACCCCTCTCTCCACGTGAGCACAATGGTGAATGCATTCTTTAAACCTCCTAAAGTGACCACAACCAGCCAAGATAGTGTCATGCTAGCCCACCCTGTCACTAGGGGGTCTCTAACCTCCTCACGTGGATCAGGGGGTTGCTACACAAGGGTAGCCTAAAGACATTCTCCAATTCAGCCATTATCTGGTGGATCAGGCGACAATCCAGCATAGGCAATATGTCCAGATCTGCCTATGAGCTCTCCCCGATCAGAATACATTTATTAGGGCCCGTGATACAGACAAATTTGGACAGTACACTCGATTTTAGAGATCAGAGTTGAGAATAATAATTACTGTTGTTTTTGTCTCCATCCGCCAAAGAATTACCGTTCTGATGTAATCCAAGTCTTGTTCTCTTTTTCCCATTCTGGTGCAGATCGCCCAGCTGCTGTGCTCCTTGTATTCTCAGTGTCAGCGCGGAGACACGGCTGCAGTGCAGCAGAAGATCGCAGAGCTGTCTCAGAAAAAGTACAACGTGAAAGCCAATGTTCAGGAGGTGAAACCCCCGGAGGACGAGGAGGAAAGCAGTGATGATGATGAAGAAGAGGTAGGAGTTGACTCTAGAAAAGTGGGGAAAAAAGGATCAGCGGCCGTGGCTGTCAGAGTTGGGTGAATGCACTGGTGACAGGCTGCTTGTTTAGCGTTAGCCCTCATTCACACGGGTAACGGCTGTGCTGCGCGCACGGCCGTATCGGGCAGCTCCCAGGAAGGACAGGTGCTGCGTGTGATTTGTACGCAGCCCCCGTCCTTCTCTATGGGACTGCGCAGCCATACGCTCACCCGCCCCGTGTGTCTGTGCGGGTGTCCATGCTCGTACACTGACCGGATGGATCCTGTCTGCGTCCGAGCAGGGACAGACGCACCCGTACGACCGTGCAGGTCAGGTGAGCGTAGGGCGGCGTACTCCCATAGAGAAGGACAGGCTGCTGCGTACAAATCATACGCAGTACCTGTTCTTCCCGGGAGCTGCCTGAAACGGCCCTGCACGCAGCACGGATCTGTACGGGCCGGCCGTTACCCGACTAAATGAGGGCTTAATGGCCGGTGTATAATGCGGGGTAGGAAACTTCACCATTCCATCTGTGCTGAAACTACAAATCCCACAGTGTCTCTGTCCCTGGGAGTCATGCCTTTGGCGGTCAGTCATGGGACTTGTAGTTCCACATCTGATGGAATGCCAAGGTTAGAAAATGGAAAGTTCAAACCAGGGCGCAAAACTTGTGGGGTAGGTGATTTAAAACATGAGTGCTGGTAAATGTACTAAATTTAGTACATTTACCAGCACTCATGTTTTAAATCACCTACCCCACAAGTTTTGCGCCCTGGTTTGAACTTTCCATTTTTCATACACATCTGTCAGACTAGGTTTGTAGAATCGTGGTTGCAAGTCATTGCTGGTAATGCACTCACATACATTATTCCAGAGGTAGGCAACCTCTGGAATAATGATTTAGTGATTTAAAACATGAGTGCTGGTAAATGTACTAAATTTAGTACATTTACCAGCACTCATGTTTTAAATCACCTACCCCACAAGTTTTGCGCCCTGGTTTGAACTTTCCATTTTCTAGCAAGCACAGGTCCTCCTACTGTTTTTCAGGGCAGCATACTGTTCACACCGAGCCCCCCTTCCGAGAGCGCTGTTTGTTCACTTGTATGGAATGCCAAGGTTGCCTACCTCTGGAATAATGTATGTGAGTGCATTACCAGCAATGACTTGCAACCACGATTCTACAAACCTAGTCTGACAGATGTGTATGATTGAGCTGTGGCTTCCTCGGCTAACCCATGGGCGGTCTAGCTGGGTGTTGCTGCTGTTTGTGGTTTTTTAAACTCCAGGAAAAAAAATATGGTCAACACCACAAGTCAGACAAGTGACCTCTTCTGATTATGCCACGTGTGGATCTCTGCTCCTTACTGTAAAAGTCCTCTCTTCACTGATGCTGGAAACTACTGTCAGTACTGTGACTGAGAGCTGCAGGGATCCTGTCATTCACCCACTCCTTCCACTCCACCATCCACAAAACGCCTTGTATTCTGTTCACAAAGGGGGCGGGACATAATTGATCGTTATATGGCCACATTAGGATTGACCAAAGTAAATGTCAAACCTGAGCTCCTCCGAACGCGGAAGTGCCATGGGCCAACCACCCAGTCAGCTGCAGTCTGGGGCTTTCCCCGCCCCGCAGCTGCTTATAGACAAAGGGTCGGAATGCTTGTGCTGACATCATTGTCCTTATATGGTCACATGGCCATATCAGGTTAATGTCATATACAGCCATGTAAGGTCAATGATGTCACAATCATCCTGCCCCTTTAGTTTAGAGTTGAAGCCTACACTGCTGTGTATGGGGTCGGCAGCTACGGAGGGGAAGGAGCGTTCGTTCAGATGTAAGAGCAGCGGGAGGGGTCAGATTGGTAGGTGTAGTTCCATTTTCTCAAATTCACCTGGGAAAATGGAATTCCCCTTTAACTTGTGCTGCTGTCTGTAATCAGTGTATTGGAGGCCTTGTTTCCCTCTGTTTATAGATTTATACCACTGTTTCCTATTCCTTCACAGTCTGTAATCAGTGTATTGGAGGCCTTGTTTCCCTCTGTTAATAGATTTGTACTAATGTTTCCTATTCCTTCACAGGCAATGGACTGTGAGACGAGCACCAATTCATCATCCGCTGTACCAAACGCTTCCAGCACACCTAGCACATCAGAGGCCGGCGGACACAGCAGGGGTCCTCAGGAGCTAGAACAAGAGCCTGACGGATGGACTGTAGTGCGGAGAAAAAAGAAGTGACCTTTGCAGACTTGAGCCGGAGCTTCCTATAAAGCACCACTAGGTGGCAATGTTGCACCTGGTTCAGAAGACTGGCCATTGTATATACTCAGTTACTGTTACCGGGAGCTCTCGGACTCTGTCATCACGAAGGATCATGCTGTGTTAAAAGCATTGCTATTCTGCTGCAGTAAAGCCGGCCATAGTTGGCTCTATTTCAGCCATTTTAACCATTGCCCAGGTATTTTGTTCTCGTCTAAAGGACCTCGATAACATTGACCTTGCCCTGTGTGAGCTGCTGCTTTTTTTACATTCTGGTGGCCTTTGAAATCACATTCTGACAACACTTCAGTGCAAACACCATACATTCGGGTGCCTGGTTGTTCAGTGCATTCAGGATAGCATAGAGAAAGAGGCTTTTTATGACCATTTGGTCTTATTACACCTTGAGTCACTTCCCTGGAACAAGTATGCAGAATTGTGAAGGTTTGAGAGGTCGGAACTCCGTAGCTGTGTAATTGCTCCAGGTCAATGACTCAAGGAGTTGAAGCAACAGGACCAGCACAACAACCAATCAACTATTTTCAAAATGAGACGTCTGCAGTCTTTCTTTATTGTGCGCTGAGGTACACCGGAATTCAGATACTGTCGGGTTATACGGCCATCTACAAGTGAATTGGTCGTGGGCAAAGAAAATAAAATGTAGGCCAGGCCCAGGGAAACCCCTTCTCTACCCAACAAGCAGTTAGAATCCCTTCTTAAAGGAGCTATTATGGGGAGAGTGAAGTGCACTTATCCCCACAGTTCAAACCGATGTGCGACACTGCAGTGGTCACATGCTGGCTGTATAATTCGAGCAGGGATTCTCCCCTCCCCTTTCTGTTCCTCCATCACTCATTGGAGGGATAGACAGGGTAGGGGGTGGGCACAGCTGGCTCTGGCTCTAGAGAAGCAGAACCAGCTGTCAATCAGGCAGTGGGATGCAACCTGACAATATTGTCAGGATCCTTCCTGGCTTCAGCGTGGCTCTGTGCTGGCAGCTTCTAGGGGGCAGTAGCTCACTATTTGCTGGGTTTTGGGTCACAGGAGGACATTGGTAAATGTCCTCCAGTGACCCAAAGGAGAACTAATGCATAAAAAAAGGTTTGGCCATAGTTCTCTTTTTAATTCCAATTTTCCTTGACGGGTTGAGCCCTCCATGTTGTACTGGCTGTTGTATTAAACTGTCACGCAGTGGCAGAATGAGAAAGAAAATAGCAAAACGTTTCCCAGCACACTCACCATCTATGAGAGCCTCCATTTTGGAGCATATATAGCAAAGGATGAATTGGGTGCAGGCTCACCAGGAACCCCTGTGGAAATCCCTGGGCTGCCTCCTGGTAAACCTACACCTAATTCACCCTTTGCTATATATGCTCCAAAATGGAGGCTCTCATAGGTTAGAGTTAGGACCACACTACACAGAGGTGCCTTGATGAGGCTGTGCGGCTTTTCACATGTTCCGCCCGTAGGATTACCTCTGTGAATTAACCTACGCGTGAAACGTGAGAGGTTGGGGGTGCGCAGTGCTGGTATTTGTTGCTTTATTCACTGTTGTGCTGGATTTGCCGTGAATTTCAATGGAGTCTGGGGTATTGGAGTTCTCTGGATAGTGCGGTCTGTTTGCTTATTACTACATTCCAAGGTGGAGACGCACCTGTTAGACCAGCACCTGGGGAGCCCTGATGGAGGCTAAGGAATTGGAACGGTGAGATTTCCTTTGGCTCTACATTTTTTTGCTTTTACTTACATTTACTGTTCAACTTCCTGGTTGAGTGAGGCACTAGTGATGTAGCCCTGGCCTCACATATGCATCCTGGGAAGGATACATCACCAGTGCCCTCCTGGGATATCGCCTCTGAAAAACTGAAATCTCGTGGGAAAGGCATCCCCCCTCAGATGATGTCACATAATCCAGAGTCCCAGACAATAAAGGAAAATGGATTTGTCTGCCCTCAGTGAAAATGGCCGCCATGAGGGAGGAAAAGAAAAAGTATGAAGTAAAGAAAAAGCCGGCAAAGATCTAGAAGTGTGATTTGTAGATTATCATTACTAAACATTTCTAAAGGTGCCTTTGTTGTCATTTCTAAAGCTGCCCATACACCTTACAATTTATCTGCAGATTTTCTGTGGTCAGATGGAAAAGGTGCAACAGATTCCTCCTTCTACGCTACACTGTGTGGATGGAGGAATCTTCACCTGGGCCAATCTGTTGCACTTTTTCCATCTGACCACAGAAAATCTGCAGATAAATTGGTAAAGGTGTATGGGCACCTTAAGATGAGGGAGAAGTTCCTCCTTAACTCTCTCTCTCTCTCTCTCTCGCCTTTTTACTGCAGCACCTGGAATGGTTTCTTCAATTATTATAGGGGATGGGCAGCTTTCTGAATTTTTGGGGAGAGTTTTTGGTTTCATTAAGCTTTCATTTTTAAACTTGTATCTTCTCTTTATAACTTACCTGTATATCTATCACAATTGGGCTGATAAGCTCCCTATGTGACAGCACATGAAGGTGACGTTCTCTTTAACGTGACATCGGGGGTTTATTAGACCCCTAATGTCACCTTTGCACTCTGTTGAAGCTGGCTGAGCACAGGTCACCTTGGATTCGATCCATCCCCAGCCAGGGAGGCCTGGGAATGACGGCGCTGAAACCGGAAGTAGTCAGAACGTATCCCTTCCGGAGTCGCTCTTTACAGGGGGAGGGGGACAATCAGCAAATGCCAGTCTTCTGCCACTTTCCATCACTTGCTGTGATGGTCCTGGGCACCCAGGAGGGAGAGGCAAGCCTGGGTCACTTGGTGAGCTCTTCTACAGCACATGAAAGTGATCGGGCTTTATGGGCACTTCTGCTAGGAAGCCCAGGAGTAAGCTAACGCTAGCCTGCTATAGCAGCCAGGAGTCCGTGTGCATGACGTGGCGGTGGCTGCGCAAAGGATTAAATATGTGGAAGATTTGGAGCCTATGTCTAGCTTATATTGTTGTCTGCGTCCCTATTGGTGGGAATGTCAGGAAGAAAAGTGATGCGAGCCTGGGGAAGTTTTAAAACTTCCGCTGTGTGCGCCTTTCTGCCCCGGTGACAACCACATTCCCCCCAATTTCTTGCCTTGGTGTCCGAGAAATTAAAGTCACAAATGACTGCTCTTTCTAGGATGTCTTTCTCTTGCAGGTACCATAAGGGATTCATTTGTATGGAGAGCAAGCGAACACGTGACTGTCGGAAGTCTTCATTGCTCATTGTGTTTTTTTTAATGTTTTGTGAATCTCTGCAAAATTAACCCACGACTGCCCTCTGTTTATGGAAATGGGAACAATAAATCTAATGGCGTTTCCAAAGATCGCCTCAATGAAAACTCATCTAATGCCATTCCAGAGCAGCCTTTCTCCACCAGCGTGCCTTTTGGCTTCATCAGGGGTGCCTCCAAATTCTTGGTAAAAGAGGGTGATTTTAGTTTCAATAGTTTTTATTGAGCATTTTCAGTTTTGTAAAACAGAAAGTAATAGGTTGAACAACAGGTCAGGTCCGGATAGGACCAAAAGCACAGGGCAGAACAGAAAGGTTACTTGCACTTAGCTCTCCAATCAGGTAAGGCACGCACACAATCTTGGGCTGGATACAGTTCGTGTTTCCACATACACAGTTATCAAAGGCAAGGTTCCTATATGGCATGACATTTCAAGGTTGTGAAGTGCTATGTTCAGACCACAGAAATAGATAGGCAGAGCCAGCTGTCAGTCACGCAGCTGGGCGGATCCAGACATAATTGTCGGGATCCGCTTCAGCATCTCAGTATACCACGAGCGGTAGCTCGCAGTATACTGAGCTTTGGGTGACGGGAGGACGCTAGTTTGTGTCCTCCCGTTACCCTTAGGAGAACTATGGGGAAAAGCCCTGACCCCATAGTTCTCCTTTAAACAGTGACATAAATAAAAAACCTTTTCAGAAACTCTGTTCTAGATGACCGACCTGTTTGAATATAGACACCTGAAGATTGTGGAGGCAACAGGTTCAAACTGACTCTGTGAGTGACAGTCACGGCTCTCTGCAGAGGCAGGATCGAGAAGTGAGCGAGTGACTGTATGTGTTCTCTCACTTCCTGATCTATTGAGCCGACGCGTGACAGTTTCAGTGTCGCACGTCGGCTCGAACTATGAGGTTGAGTGAAAATCACTCGCCTCCATAGTTCTCCTTTAATATTTTAATCTAATGATGAAAGAAGTGATGTTCTTGCCCCCCCCCCCTTCTTTGATGGTTGGAGTTTACAATTGTAAGCTGTGTGGTGCAATCATTTACTTTTCGATGACACCCAACAATTGCCATTGGTACCAATGGATGTACATCACAAGAACTTGGCAACCCCCTTCGATGGAAGACAACGTTGAGTCCACGATCACTTGATTCCCTTAAGCAGTACGAGAGACCACGTGACACGGCGCATAAGAAACACACAAGTAGACGGCTTGCAGTAAACAGACTGTATTGAACAGATAGAACATACCTCCAGCACACAGCACAGGTAGGGAAGGGGATGGGGGGAGGCACTGAATCCAAACAATTTCCAGTGGCCTGCCACCAACGCCATGCCTCCACCCAAATAACAGACAGTAACTGGAAGCAGAGATGTGATACAGGCAGTCACCCTGTGCCAAAGATACAGTACAAGGGAACATTGACAGGGGCAGCAAGACAGGGTATAAAAGACATGCGTAGAGAGCGCTCCTATAGAAAACTTACCCCTGCCGAGCGCTGCACAGTGACCGCACTGGGCTTTGGAGTCATGGTTGCCGATACAAATCATTCTTACAAAACCTGGAAAGTTTGGCACATGCGTTTAGAGAAAACACGTTATGAAGTGCCGCAGTTCACCCTGTCGTTTTATACACATGATCTCCTCCTATACATGTGAGCACGCATGTATTATCCCCATTATTCAGGCCAATGAACTGAAGGGCGGATCTAATCAACGGTCTGGTGCACAGGGAGGCAACCTCAGCACCCCAACTGTGCCGAAAATACAAATCCCATCATGCATCTGGGTCCAGGAGTCATGCCTGTCTTGCAGTGTCTCATGGGACTTGTAGTTCCACAGCAGCTGGAGGG